TGACTTGTTCCAGCATATAAGGCCTAGCACATGGGAGGCACTAAATAGGCCTGTTGAGAGAAAGTGAAAACATTTATAGTCAGCTAAAGTATGGCAAAATCTCCTAAGAATTTTAGTTAACCAACAAATATTGATCTTTTGTTCTCATTGATGGGGTAGGGTGGGCAGGGCCTACAAAGCAAGTATGAGCTTTGGAGTCTGTGTTGGAGCCGGAGAGACTAGGCATCTGTAAGATCCATTCGGAGCAACTGAAGATGACCTGCCGTTTGAGTGATACATTTTGTGGACATAACTTTACAATTGGAAATCCAAGTGCCTCAGAAGGAGTCTCCCATTTCTTCCTTGATGATTTAGAACTTTCTACATCTAAGTGCTGTTCCTTTGCTTGAAGCTATAGCAGAAGGACAAATGAACAGACTGAGAGCAGGAGCTGTTTTTAAGCTGTCATATTTCTAGACTGCCACAAGATGGGAGTATTTTAAAACTTTACTCTCTTGATTTTCTGATCATTAATCTTTTGTGAGCCATATGGTGATAGAAATTCCGTGTCCCAATACAGTACTTTGGAGCTCAGAAAAACAAACATGGCTCTCTTTTTGCTGTTGGAAATTTGATTCTTGTGAGACTGGCAAAGGAAAATGTATATTAAAGCAAGAGAATCAATAGCTGTTGGTTTGTAACTGTTATGTCCTGCATTTGAAAATAAGCTTGTAGTATAAAATGGAAAAATTATTGGAACCAAAATTCAATATTTTGAATGAATGCAGTCTCATTCTTTTGTTTCTAAAGCTCTCAAAGTTAAAGCAATATTGACTTTCTCATGATTCTCCATTATCTTGATCTTTGGTTCCAGTGTAGAAATTCAGCTGCCTGCAGTAAGTTGAGGGCTGCTACTATCAAACTTTCTATATTGTCTCTGGTCCTTCAGGCAAATAGCAGGTGCATTTTCAGTGTCTTGGGACAGAAATTACAGTTACAGAAACTCAAATTGCAATGGATACAGTATGCCAAAGTAGAGAGGATTAAAGAGCTGATGGCCAGTGTAGTGTGTGTTTTAGCTGACATGCAAAATAGCCCATTTGCAAAGGAAATTATTTCCAATAGACGATGAGCTTGGCTACAATGAGAAATGCTTTAATGCTTTTAGAGACTCTTGTCCTAAAGGTCAGAGGAAATAATAGACAAAAAAAGGAAGGACAAGGATAGGAATTTTGGCCAGATCAGATAGAGAAAGGACTGGCAGGCACTGCAGATTCCTGCCACCAAGGAGGAAATCCAGGAAGACCACACAGGCTTCTCTTTATCACCACTTCAGTTGCCATTGAGGCCTGATATTGTAGACTCAGCACTAGGGAATTAAATGGCTCCCAGTCTCTCTCAGGTGTTGTATGTACCGGCACGTGGGCTGGTTTCCATGGAGAATATTCAACAGGCCATGGGAAGCGTTTGAGTTCACTTATTAACGTTGTTGCCTTGTTGGCCCCAGCAGTTCCTCCTCCACTCCTGAGGTGAGACTTCTCACTCCCCAGGTCCAGAGGTGCCCACAGGTGTGACAGGTGCTCATTCTACTTCATTCCTACCATCCTATGTCTTCTTACCTGAGCTTACAGAATCCTAGGGTGTCAAAAATTTAACAGAAGGAAAACGAAATGAGGTCAAGATACTTGCCCAAGAAGTGTCCCCAATACAAAGCTTTTTGTCCACATTTTCCTGTCCAACTCGCCAAAATCTGCCCTTTTTCTACGTCCACCTCAAGTCCCCATCTTTAAAGTCCTAGCGTATTTAACATCAAAATCCATGTATCTCCATTACATGCTCTCCGTTGTTGCTTGCTGCTGCTTTCTGTGTCTGTCTTGACTCCACACCAAGACACTAAGCCCCTTGAACATATGACCATATCTTATACACCAGGGCTTCTCAAATTTAATGTGTACAGAGATCACCTGGTTATCTGGTTAAGCTGGAGATTCTGGTTCAGAAGGTCTGGGGTTGGACCTGAGACTGCACTTCTAACAAATTCCCCTAGGAGTGGTGCTGATGCTGCTGGCCCAGCATGGCACTTGGTAGCTGATTGATTGTTGCTTTCCCTCACAAGCATTGATAGACATTGGTTTTCCTGCCTGCAGTGTACTAAAGGGATAATAATAGTTGGTTTTGAGGAGGCAGTGCAGTGTGGGAGGTTAACACCCTGGCTTTGATCCACTCAAATAAAAAGGTAACATTTATCAAGTACTTATGTGATGAGCACTTTTTATGCATTATTAGACTTAATCTTTTGGGAAAAAAAACATTAAGTAAAAAACAAACAAAAAATCCCATTCCGTTGTGTTATGTTTAGGTTTTCAGAAAATAAGTATCAATTTCTTAAGTGATTTCTCTTTCCGTAGGACTACAGGATTTCTACAGATTCTGAATACAGTTCTCCTTGAAGAAAACCTTAGTCGGTC